AAAACACAAGTGACTGATTTCATCTCAGGCAGCCACCCTTCTCCCAAGGAAGTCTGCTCAATTCGCCCCTCCCTCCCCTTTCCCTCTTCTCCTCATCCTGCAGACAGTACCTGTCACTGCGGAAATATGGGAAGTTAAACTGGATCTTCCTCAGTGAGATGCTCTGGAACTATAAAGAAAGTAAAGATTCAGAAATACAGGTGATAGAAACTTACTACTCACAGTACTCTTACAAAGCAGTGGTGTGGACTGCTGGTCCCTAATCAATGTCTTGGAGAACAGAATGATTTTCTGCCCAGGCCAGCACTAACCTGGGGCAAACCAGCACCCACGACAGCACCACTGTGGATCATTGGACCTTCCTTCCCAACAAAAAGACCTGGAAAAATAAGATTGATAAGTCACACAGAATCACCAAGGTTGGAAAAGACCTTCAAGATCATCCAGTCCAACCATCCACCTATCACCAACAGTACTCACTAAAAGTAGTCAGCATATTTCCTGCCCTCTTCCTTGCTGACAGTACCAGGACAGATCATCTCACCACTCCCACCGTGTGTCCCATGACACAGCTCCTCTGTACCAGGCCATAAGGTACAGAAGTAGTTTCCAATACCTAAGCTGAGTCCAGGCTCCTCTCAAGGGAAAGGGAGCTGTTGAACCCTTTGTGCCCCACAAAGATTTGTGAACAGACTTGGCAATCAGGCAGAAATATTCTACGACTACTCCTTCAATGACTCTGAACTCCCCAGGTTACTGTGAGCCCTGCTGCTTACAACACAGCCTCCTTCAGACTGCTCCAGGTAATGTGTTCTGAAGAATTCTCACATCTCCCTCTTAGAGAGAGATGCCTCTTGCTAACCCACCTAGAAGAGCACCTGTTCCCTTAACAGTTCCATCCCTTCTGTCTTACTGACTCTCACAACTAGCCCATCAAAATCATTTCACCAGAAAGACAGAGAAGCCTCCTGCACCCTCCCCTTCGTTTCTCTCCCTTCAGTGATTCCTTGCCCCAACAAGACATCACAGCCCTTCTTACCTCCTGCTACACTGAAGAGCACTCCCACAGCTTTGCACACCACCGTCCGGAGCCGCACAACCCCTGGAACTTTTACCCCATTGAGGTAGCACTTAATTTCAGGAATTCCTGATCCAGCTGCCACAGGCTGCAGAAAGGAAACACTGATGCTGTGCTGCACTGATGTCAAAGCTGACTGACAACATCTCAGTTGTCACCCCACCTCAGTCAGAGGGCACAGCAGGGATCAAGAGACATTACTTAGCTAAATCAAACGGCACTGTAAAGTTAGTTGGTTGCCTTGGGCTGTGGGCAGGAAGGAAGTTTCCTACCTAGAACCCATGTGAGAGAAAAGGAAGAATGTACGAAGTGCAGTACAGTCTTAAGTCTTACCTGGATCAGGACTAGAAGACTTGCAAGAAAAACAAAGGTCAAGTTGAACCCCAGCAGCTCCAGTAAAGACAAGGCAAGACAGCCTTTCTCAGTGCATTCTTCCACCGCTGCATGGAGGGTCAAGGAAAGCAACAACATTCTTCCCATCAACACACAATCATTCGGTGTTGGCTGGCACCAAGAGCCAAACTTGTGCTTCCAACTCCAGGCAGAGCAGATGACCACTCGTCAGAGAGCCCATCACCCAACCAGAGCTCAAGGGTGAGCTATGAGGAAGGGAAACAACTCGATCTTTCAGAGATCAGCTTTTGCCCACATACTGATTCTGAAACTACTTTCTTGGTTTCAAGGGCTGAACAACACAGGCAAATTAAAACCTGATTAATCAACAATGTGACCGATGGCAAAAGTCTAAAAGAATCAGCTGCTCTTAGCAAAACATGGCAAGAAAAGGGTCACTTGAGTCCAACAGGACTCCAACCATCAGGTAAAAGATACAGCTTTGTACAACCCGGAACTTGAGCTGGGTGAAGAGCCGTACAAAGAAATCCACAAAGAGGCCCACCTATGAAAAAGACGACAGACCTGTCATCAGAAATCACTACATGCAAGCAACAAAGACCAGCCTCTAGCAAGCCCTACCAGGAATACACACACGTGAGAGGACAGAAGATGAAGAATGCAGAGTAAGTATTCAGAGCAAAGTAACTTGGGAAGCTTAAATTCAGTGCCTCCCTTGTTCTGAGACAGATCCATCCCAGGATTATTCCACTTCAGAGCATTAATCTGGTAGCATTCTTAACACCTACAACTTACATTGGGGTACAGAAGAAAGCTGATGTTTAACTGAGGCATACACTCAGAAAAGCCGATTTTCAGGCACATACAGTAAAGTCTACACTGCCAAACATAAACACAGCTCGACTGTAAACTGGCATTCTGTTTGATTAAGTGCTCACTTTGGACAAGTTCTGCAAAGTTAAAGAATTTGTCTGAATACTTTGCAGAGAAAACACAGCAACATCTGGAAGAAAAAAGCTCTCCTGGAATATAATGCATCAACACTGTGCTTTAATTCCCAAAAGCCACCTCCAGCCAGGAAGTTCTCCACTTCATGAACGTAAATATTTACTCAGCTTCCCTCCTTTGCCATTGACTTCTAACTTATTCCTGCTGATCTCTTCCCAAACAGCATGATCCTTACCAGTCCCGTGCAGACTCCAATGGCAAAAACCATCACCCATTTCACTGCTTCATAGTTTCGGGCTTTCTGTTTAGAAATAGGATTAAAAAATAAATAAATAAACGAGCCTAGTCAAAGGAACATACAGAGATCAGAAAACTTTCTACAGCTTTAGCTCTCAAGATACTAAAAGCTGAAACAAACAAGTTCCTACCTTGTTGTCCATGCTCTCCAAAACTTCCAAGTATGGGTCATTGATACAGCGATCGTAATCCAAGCTCTGGAAGAAAGCCAAAAGGTCAACCTAAGAACATCAGCCGCTATAGACTGTGCAAGAATCTGCCCACAGTGACCTTGTTAAAGATTACAGAAGTCATTACTTCCCCAAAGCTTGTTTTGCAAACGAGCGTGGGAGGCAAAACTTCTGTAAGCAACTTTGTTTAAGAATTTCCAGTAGAGCCAAGCTGTGAGAATCAAGAAGAGCAGACCAGGATAGGAAACAAATAAACTGATTAACACAACTTTAATTTGAATTCATAACGTACAGATTTAGACCTTGCTTTGTTAGGCGCCTCCAATGTGACAGTGCAAGGGGCAACATCAGACTTAATCTTTAGTTACAGCAGAAGTGCCAGGTACAAATTCTCAATAGGCAGCACCAGCTCTTAACCTCATCACAGGAGAAAGCTAAAAGTAATAGCTGTCCCACTGTAGTCACAAGGTATCATTACTTTCTACCTGTATCAGCTTTACTGTTTTGAGCCAAAGGGTAACAGGTTGGTGCTCCATCAAGCAGTAACAGCTTGCTGACATCCATGCTGACAGCAGCTCCTCTAAATAACTCAGGGCCTCCATTCAGACACTTAACAACCAATAACCTCCTGTAAGAGTCAGGACCTTACCTTCCAGGTAGATGGAAAGATCTGCTTCTTTCTCAATAGGAATCTGACTGAAGCAGCAGATGGTCAAGACCTACTCAGAGCACAGGGCTCTAACCTACAAATGCCATATCAATGAATGCAGAGCAGGTCTTTGCAAGAGCAGCAGCTTTTGGCATTCCTGTGGTGCCAAGGAAATCTAGCTGTAGTGATGCAATTGGACTTCTTGCCCCATTTCAGACTCAAACTGATCAAAAGCTGCGTGCAGTTCTTTCACAGAATCACAGCACTGCAGGGGCTGGAAGGGAGATCATCAAGTCCAACTTTCTGCTAAAGCATTTTCTCTACAACAGGTCACACAGAAAGCGTGCAGACAGATCTTGAGTAATTCCAGAGAAGGAGTCTCCATCACCTCTGTGTGCAGCCTGCCCCACTGCTCCATCACTCAACAGTAAAGTTCTTCCTTACATTAACACAGAACTTTGATGTGTTCATTTTGGCTCATTGCTCCTTGTTCTACTGCTGCAAAAGGAGACCAGCCCCACTGACACGACTCCAGCACTTGAGATATTTAGGAAGCTGATGCTTATTGCTCACCTCATAGTCTTTGCGTGGAAGGATCTCATCTTCCTCTTCATGAGTTTCTCCCAGGATTGTCTACAGAACAAAAGGGCAACGTGAAATGAAAAATAATCAGCAGGATGAATGCAGATCCCAAAATGAGGATCACTGCATACAAAGCTAAGGTACAGGCTATGAAAACATCACTTACATCAGATAAACACACAACTACAGAGCAGAACCAGAGTACCATTAAGCCTTGACAAGCCCTCTAAGGTCATCCAGCCCACATCCCTCAGAGCCACACACCCACACTGCACTCCCCCAGGGATGCTGAGCCACTTGTTTCTCCACACAGCTGTGCCAGCACGTCACCACTCCACACAGGGCTTTACGTTACAGCTCACATCTCAGCGGCAGGAAGGGCAGCACAGCAGGCAACGGTGAGGCGGGCTGAGGCGCCCAGGGCCCAGCGCCATGGCAACACCCAACGCCCGCCCGCCCTCAGGCACTCCGCGACCTGAGGCTTAGCGACAAAGCACAGCCACAGGGTGAGCGGCCGCACACACGCAGGGCTCCGCAGCCGTACCAGCTCCTCAGGGGTGCGGCTTTCCCGCTCTCCGCAGCACTGCGGGCAGCAGCAGCACAGCGATCCGCCGCACCCCGCCATCTTATCCCGGCGCCGCCCGCCCGCAAAGCACGTGACCTCGCGGCGCTCACGTGACGCGGCGGCGTACGGGGGCTGGGGGGGAGGGAAGGGGAGAGTGAGGGCGCGACGCCATGCTGGATAAGGGAATAGCGGGATACCACGTGATGGATTAGGGGGGGAACAGCGGGGCTTAAAGGGACGCGGGATGGGGCCGCCCGCGATGCGCAGCGTGCGACGCCGCGGGGAGGTGAGCGGGGCCCTGCGGGGGGGAAAAAGAGCAAGGCTTCCCATCCCACCCTTAGAACGGGTTCAGCCGAGGTGACAGCACACGGTCGTCTGCAGCCAGGCGTCCCCGCGGGGAGCCAGGTTCCTTATAGGGCGGATCCTTATAGGGTCGATTCCTATAGGGCCTTCTGTGCAGGTGCTCCGTGCCGTTTGTAGCCCTGGGGGCTGCGGGTCCGGCCCCAAAGCACTCGGGTGAGCCGTGTGATGATTGCTGCGGGAGGAGCTGCGCTCCTTGCCAGCTGATGGGAACGCTGAGCGCTTCTATTGATGCACTGCACGAGGCCTTCCTACCGCCTCTGTGCTTTGAGACGACCGGCAATAAACCGAGGCGAGAAAACCTCGCCCTATAGAGACACCGAAAGGCCAACCTGCCTGCTAGCTGCTCGAGCCGAAGGGGAAAAGAAATCCTGAGGTTTATTGTTCGTCGGCAACGAGCTGATGGGAGGCTGCCCCTATAGCTGCACTGCTTTGGGATAACCCCCATCCTGCCTGCTGTTGTGTCTGTGGGGAGGGCTGTTGGTACGCTGAAGGTTTGAGGCTGGCAGCAGCAGCAGGCGTTGTGCTCCTTTCTCTTATCTCCTGCCAGCTGGAGTGGTCCCCAGGTGGTAAAAGCAGACTTTCTCCCAAAGGGTTTGGCTTGATGGCCAACTGAGTGTAAACAGGAGAAGAGTTCAAAGTCTGGATGACCGGAGCTCGGAGTTTCTGATGAGGACAACGAGTGTGCCGGCTTGTGCAACAGCTTCCTCCAGAATAGACTCCTTGTTATGTAATGACAAGGTGCTGCTCTCAGTGTCAGCGTTAAGCTTTGACAAAGCAAATAACCCAAATCCCATTTTTTACAGCAGCTTTTCTCTAGCTGTCTGTAACTGCTCCCTAACTTCTGTGGTGTTGGAGATAAAGCATCGAGCAGTTGTGGTCCAGGGAGCTCAGCAGAGCTGGGCATCCTATACCCAACCTGCAGAGCTGCTTGATGTTCTGGAAAGCCAACAAGCATATCTGAGCATTCTGCAAGGCAGGGAAAGATGGGATGGTCTCTAACCTCAGTTCCAAGCAGCCACGGTGAGAAAATGAACGTAACACCCTAACTGGTGAAGGAAATAGCTGAATGTGTGCAGTGCAAATGTCTACAGAGGTGGTGTGTCTTGCAGAGAGAGAAATGCCACAGGGTGATGTCCGTAAGGACAAAAGAAAGGATGGCATGCAGGGGGCCCTGTTTCAGAAAGGGTTCTTCAATTTTTTTTCCTGTTTACCTTCCCTATTAGCAGTTGTCCTTATCTCTGTGTTGTAAAGAAATGCTGCCTTTTGGGAATAAACAGATGGGAATTCATGAAGTTGGATGCAGTCCAAGGGGCAGCTGCTGTAGAGGAAAATCTGCTGGTGTGTGTAGCCTGAGACTGCAGGATCAAAAAGGTCTTCAGCTGGTGCATGGGGGCATCACAGCCTGCTAAACTGCAGACAGAGCAAAAGTCATGTTAACCTGACTGTCATGAGAGCCAAGTTTGATCCTGCAGTCACAGAAGAGTTGCATCGAGGTGGCGTGAAGCCAGCTGCTGTGTTATTTTCACTGTGTAAATGCACTTGTTTTACTGTGTTTTCACAAGATTGTCTGCCATAGCTTACAGTGAGGGCTGGTCAGAGGGACCTCTTGGTGATGATTGATGGTGGTTGTAGCACAGGACCCCTTTTCCTTTTACTTGCCATCAGATGCATGTCCTGTACCCACTGTGCCACTTCTGAGGAGCCTCAGTAAGTTTGCAGATGACACCAAGTTGGGGAGGGTGTGTTGATCTTCCTGAGGGGAGAAAAGCACTGCAGAGGGACCTGGATGGACTGGATCTATGGGCCAAGGTTAGCTGTATGAGTTTCAATAGGGCCAAGTGTCGGGTCCTGCATTTTGGTCACAACAACCCCAGGAAACCCTACAGGCTTGGAGAAGAGTGGCTGGAAAGCTGTCTGACGGAAAAGGACCTTGATGTGCTGATATTCAGTCGGCTGAATATGAGCCAGCAGTGTGCCCTGGTGGCCAAGAAGGCCAATGGCATCCTGGCTTGGATCAGCAATGGTAAGCAGGACCAGGGAAGTCATCCTGCCCTGTTCTCGGCACTGGTGAGGCCTCACCTCGAGTTCTGTGTTCAGTTTTGGGCACCTCAGTACAGAAAGGACATGGAGGTGCTGGAGCAGGTCCAAAGAAGAGCAGCAAGGCTGGGGAAGGGCTTGGAGAATGTGCCCTGTGAGGAGAGACTGAAGGAACTGGGGATATTCAGTCTGGGGAAAAGGAGGCTGAGGGGAGACCTTATTGCTCTCTTCAAATACCTGAAAGGTGCTTACAGAAGGAGCGGGGTTGGTCTCATCTCACTGGTGACAGGACAAGGGGAAATGGCCTTAAAAGCTGCACCAGGGTAAGTTTAGGTGGGCTATTAGGAAATACTTTTTTACAGAAGGGGCTGTTAAGCACTGGAATCGGCGCCCCAGTGAGGTGGTTGAGTCACCATCCCTGGGTGTGTTTAAAACCCATTTGGACGTGGTGCTCGGGGACATGATTTAGCAGAGGTTGTTAGTTGGGGTAGTACGGTTAGGTCATGGTTGGACTCATTGATCTTTAAGGTCTCATCCAACCTGAGCGATTCTATGATTCTGTTCCCCTTCTCTAGAGCGCTCACCATGGTCAATGAGAACCAGCATACCTGCAGTGCCAGCTCCAGCTCCAAGTCCGATGGCGGCAGCAGCAGTGGGAGTGAGAGCTCCAAGGACAGCTCACGCTGCTCCACTCCTGTCCTCGATGCCGAGCGTCACGAGCGACTGCGGGAGAAGATGCGGCGGCGGCAGGACTCTGGGGACAGGTGGTTCTCCCTGGAGTTCTTCCCTCCACGCACAGCCAACGCTGCTGTCAATCTCATCTCCAGGTGAGGGCCGCAGGGTAAGAGAGGGGATAGATGAAACCTCGTTGGTGGAGGGTTGGGAAAAAGTTAATGAGGCAGGCTCTGTCCCGTGCTCTGTCTCCCCTTCCAGGTGACGAAGCAGGTAATGGGGCTGTGCTTTCCTGCTGAGGAGGGTAATGGACACCAGGTAACTTATCTTCCTTGGAGGCCCTCAAGTGTTAAGTGTCATGGTGGGGTTGTTGAGAGTGCAAGGCTGCTGCCATGCTCTAGGTCTGAAGTGCTGGGGACGATAGAGTAATAGCTATTTAAAACAGAAAATATTTCATGGACATTATGCTCAGATCTCTGGGACTGAACTCCCACAGGTTTTCAGAATCATTCAGCCACTATAGTTTGTGCCTCTGTTTTACCAAGGACTCCTGTTTTAGACTCTGAGACTGGTTTCCCCATGCACATGCTGTGTGGAAGGTGACAGATCTCAGCAGAACTAAAGGTTATCCTGGAGCCTGAGCCACCATGTACTCATCTGGAAGAGAACAGGGATTCTCATAACCCTTTCTGTAATTGCTGTACGCCAGTGCCATGTTTACTTTAAACAGAAGGGCCTGTTCCAGCCCAGAGCAGGAGAGAGGAAAAGTTAGAGGAGCCTTCGTCTCTTCTGTGAGGCACGCTTGGAAACACCACAGAGATCTGGCCTTCCTTTCCGTGTTTGTGGCCTATACAGTTAAAGCTGGGAAAGGAGGTTCTGGCATAGTCTTCCATCTCAAAGTGAATGGGATGTGCATTGTGGTCTACCAGATTGTGCATCAGACTAACAGAACACATTGAGAGGAGGTTTATTCTACAGAGAAGACTTAAATTGCTTCCTTCCTCCTCCAAGAGATTCTAAGCTCTTCTTCATTCAGCCTCAAGTGATTATTATCTTTGTTCATTTCATATTTGCCACATGTTTAACTCTTAGTTACACGCTTTTTTTGGCGACTCCTGCTGCTGTCATCCAAGTTTTCCCTGCTTGTTGATGGCATTCCAGCAGGGAGCAAGATATCCTGGCATAGAGAGGAGGTGAGCTGGCTACCCGGTAGGCTTACACAGCTCTAAAATCCACAGGTTTGACCGCATGGCAGCAGGTGGTCCTCTCTTCATTGATGTGACGTGGCATCCTGCAGGGGACCCAGGATCTGACAAGGAAACCTCCTCCATGATTATTGCCAACACTGCAGTCAACTACTGTGGCCTGGAGACCATCCTTCACATGACGTGCTGCAATCAGACCAAGGATGACATCACAGGGCACCTGCAGAAGGCCAAACGGCTGGGGCTGAAGAACATCATGGCATTGCGTGGAGGTGAATCCTTTTGTCCTAGAGCACTTAGTAGGGCTGAGGTGGTGTTGCTGTTACATTCAGCTTCATGGCAAGATGCAGAAGTAACAGTTGGAGGAACTGGATTTATTCTCTTTCCAGATCCTGTTGGTGAGGAATGGGAGGAAGAAGTACATGGATTCAATCATGCTGTTGACCTGGTTAAGCACATTCGCAGTGAATTTGATGATTACTTTGACATCTGTGTGGCAGGTATGCATTTTCTGATGCAAAGTGTGGGGTAGGATATGAGATGGGGAAATCAGTCCAGCAGTCCCTTTCTGGACCTGGGCTGTAAATGACACAAATGACACAGAGATTGGCTACTTCCTAATTTCTGATGTGTTGTGTCGGCTTTTCTTTTCTTGATCCCCTCCAAAGGCTACCCCAAGGGTCATCCTGAAGCAGAGAGCTATGAGGCAGACCTGAAGCACCTGAAGGAGAAAGTTCTTGCTGGAGCAGACTTCATCATTACACAGCTTTTCTTCCGACCAGAAACCTTTCTCAAGTTCATGAAGGACTGTCAAGCCATTGGCATTACCTGCCCCATTATTCCTGGCATCTTCCCCATACAGGTGAAATCAAGTTATTCTGGCTTGGGGAGGCAACGTGGAAACGTGTTACGTGTTCTGGGGTCAGGGTCTGAGAGAGGTCTGTGAATACCTCCAACAATTTCTGGGAAGTAGGAGTGCTAAATATGTGATAAATCTGTAGGTGGTTTGCTAAATGAAACTCTGTAGAGATTTTCTGTACCCATATGGCACAGAGGGATATAAAAGGCAGTTGCCTACCTGTTCTGAGTGGTGAGACGTCACTGTCAGCATGCTGAGCTAAGGCACTGAGTAGGTAAATGTGATGAAATCACCTGACCTGATACAAACAGTCTGCGTTACATGGGATCCTAGGGATGGAGGCCTGGCTATATGAAATCCAGGAGCCCCCAATTCTGTCTCCTGCTGCAACGTTGAGATCAAATAGCTGTTACTGGACATGAGAAAAGGACCTGGAAAGACTGAAATCCTGTTTATCTTCACCCAGGGTTACCACTCTCTGCGCCAGCTGGTGAAGCTCTCCAAACTGGAAGTGCCCCAGGAAATCAAAGATGTGATTGAACCCATCAAGGATAACGATGCAGCTATCCGGAATTATGGGGTGGAGCTGGCAGTGTCCATGTGCCGGGAGCTGCTGGACAGTGGCCTGGTGCATGGGCTTCATTTTTACACCCTCAATCGGGAAGTGGCTACCACTGAAGTCCTCAAGCGCCTTGGCATTTGGAATGAGGACCCTAGGTGAGCTGAATATGCTGGTTTGTTTTAGTTCCTGAACATCCCATCTACTGAATGCATAAGGAATGGATGGGTTGGTTCTTCTCTTCTGCTTTTTAAGTACCTTTCTGCATTTAGACATTCATCCTTCCTGCAGGTCTCTGATAAAAGCTGGGAGGAAGGGTAGGTAGTGGAGGGAAGAACTGAAGTAGCCTGTTTGTGGAACTTTAAAACCTAAACTCTTAGAGATGCCGCTTGGAAGAAACACTTTTTTAAGACTCTCAATACATTCCTGATACAGAGAATGGGATCAGAGTCCACATCCTTCAAAATAGACAGGTGGAAGCACAGGCAGAGGGGTAACTTTTCCTTCCCACAGTGCTCTTCCGTTACTTCACCCAGTCTCAGATGTCAGTCCTGCACTTAACAGACACCTACCAAACAGCTGTGAAGGAAAACCTTTTGCATAAAGGAAGAGGTTTATTTGATTTTTGTCCTACCTCTTGTCAAATAGATCTCTTCTTAGCTTTTGCTACTTGTTCTCTCCAAAGGCCAACTCTTTAGGAGGAAGGCTTCCAGCCTCTTCTAGAAAGACAGCAGGAGAAGCATGTTGACTTCTGCTTTCTCTGTGTAGGCGACCTCTGCCTTGGGCAGTCAGTGCTCACCCCAAGAGAAGAGTTGAAGATGTTCGGCCAATCTTTTGGGCCTCTAGGCCTAAAAGCTACATCTATCGAACTCAAGAGTGGGATGATTTCCCCAACGGTCGATGGTAAGCTGTTAGCCTGCAATGGCAGGGTGTGGTACAACAGCCTGCTGCACAGTTGATCTCTGTAGTTAGTGGGTGTCTGGTGCATGCCTTCAGCCTGGCAGAAATGATGGTTTGTTGTTGAAGAGGTCCCCAGTGGATTTGAATGAGGTGAAGAGAATGGCAGCAAGGTTTTGGGGTTCCAGGTCTTTAGAAGGATTGTGGTGGATGCTTTTCCTGGCTGGCTGTTTTCTTGCATCATCAAACTGGTGCATCTTCATCAGTGCTTTGTTAATCCTGTGTCTGTTCTGCTTATAGGGGTAACTCCTCTTCTCCGGCCTTTGGGGAGCTGAAGGACTATTATCTCTTCTACCTGAAGAGCAAGTCTCCCCGTGAGGAGCTCCTGAAGATGTGGGGAGAAGAACTGACTGGTGAGGAAAGCGTCTTTGAGGTTTTCACATGTTACATCACCGGAGAGCCCAACAAGAATGGACACAGGGTGAGAGGTGGCCCTGGAAGGGCTGGTCAGTCTGGCACAGACAACAGTACTTCATGTCTCCTGTTCCTGTACAATGGCAGTTTCCTACCTAAAGCTGCTGAAATAGTGGCTGAAGGGGGGGGGATACTCTCTCCAAAGAGAATCCAAGAGCCAGAGCTAGGGCTGAGCATAAAAAGCAAGCTGCTGTAGCATCATGCTGAGCTCATTCCTGGAGTTAGCATACCTGCCCCCCAAACAAAACCTGAGAATTCTGCCCTGTGTGAGATGATCAAGATCACTAGGGCGTTTCTGAGTTCCTTCAGCATCAGTTAGTAACCAAAGGATTGTTGTGCACTCCCACACTGTAAGCCATCCTCTCTCCTCATGGTAGGTTACGTGTATGCCCTGGAACGATGACCCTCTTGCTACTGAGACCAGCCTTCTGAAGGAGCAGCTGGAGAAGGTCAACAGACGAGGAATCCTGACTATTAACTCCCAGCCAAACATCAATGGCAAACCATCCACAGACCCCATTTTTGGCTGGGGACCTAGTGGAGGTTATGTCTTCCAAAAGGTACTGCACTGTTCTACTGGGTAGCATTAAGTTGTGACCTAGTACAGTCTCCATGAGGTAGGAAGGTCTTAGGCTTCCAAACAGATACTACTTCTGCCAGCTCCTTACTCTAATGCTTTCTTGCTGGGATAAGACAAAGCTCCTCTGGTGACTTAAGAGACAGATCATGTCAACTCTGTGGCTTACCTAGCTGTTTTCTCCCACTTCAAAACAATTTGTTTTTACTCATAGCAAGCAGTTGATGCTAAACACTTGCCAGAGCAGAGCTATCAAGTTACAGATTTAAAAAAACCAAAACCAACAATAAAACATGCCTGCCCACTGCAGCTGATCCCATTCCCAATGCAGGAAGCACCCAGGCTTCTCATAATAGTAATCAATGAAGCAGTATCTCTCCCATCCAGCTTTTCATGCTAATAACTGGGTATTTAAAAATTCTCTCATCCATCTTTCTCTAAGGCAGAGTTCTTCACCAGTTGCCTCCACTGCAGCACTTCTGCTGTGGTTACTTCTGGTCTGCAAGCAGTCTTATCTCTTATGCCTGCCTCCTACTGTCATGCATTTTCAGGCCCTACATCCTTGCTATTAATGGCTGTGATAGGAATCTCCTGTGTCAAGGTAAATGCCAGGCAAGTGCCTTGTACTAGGAAACAAAGCAGCTGTGTTCAAAAGGGATCCGAATTGCTAAAGCCATGAAATGAGCAGATGGCAAATGCAGTTATGTTTTCAAAGAAGAAAACAAATTCCCTGAGGTGAGGGGAAATCCATCATCACACAATAGCCAGGAAATGGGGGGAGGGGAAGCAGTTGTTGGAGCAGCCAAGCACAGAGCAGCAGTAGATGGAGGAAGTACAGAATTAGATTGTGTGAGCTCACTGGGAGGACTGAGGACAAAAGATGAGACTGGACAAAGGGCAGGGTGTTTCAGAGCCCAGCTGAGACCTCTGACTTCATCTCCTGCTAGACTGGGCTGCCTTGGCAGGATACTCCTGTTCATGGGCTACGACACAAGTCAAGCTCAGGCTCCTTCCAGGAACTCTGGCCAGTATGGGCTGCTTTCCAGGCCCAGCAATTGTGGTTACACTGCCTGGAGCATATTATAGCCTGTCTGCTTACATGGGTACAGGTCAGATAGCTCGCAGCTTTCCCAAACTGGCCGTTCTCGGGCTGTTACCTCTGCTCTCCATGAGTTCTTTTTCTCAGCTCTTACCAATTTGTTTTGCCCTTTGCTCCAGTCCCCTTTGTAATACATATTTCTGGGGATGGATATAGAAGTCTTAGGCTTGTGCTAAAAAACACAGGTTACAACTGTTCTTTCGGTTGCCTCTGTGTCAGCCCTGCCCTGAGCTAGGGCTCTTATTTTTTCTCTCTTCCCTCTCTGGCAGGCATACCTAGAGTTCTTCACCTCCAGTGAGATCGTCACAGCACTGCTCAAAGTGTTGAAGAAGTACGAGTTGCGGGTGAACTACCACATTGTCAACGTCAAGGTAGGCTGATATTTACAGGATACTTTCACCACCTTGGGAGAGAGGCAAAGGTCAAAGATTCAGACATCCCCAGGAACAAACTGGGACATGAAGGAAAAGTGAAACAAGTCAGCTGTGACCTGCAGCTGCTGTCTGATCTCTTAACAAGGACAGGAAAATTGCTCTGACTCAGTATCTCCTCCACCAGCTTCAGAAAGGTTTTCTTTTCCTTGTAGGGCCAGAATATCACCAACGCTCCTGACCTGCAACCCAATGCTGTTACCTGGGGCATCTTTCCAGGCAGGGAGATAATCCAGCCCACCGTGGTAGACCCTGTAAGCTTCCTTTCCTGGAAGGTAAGTCCTTCCTGCTGCTTGACACAGCTGTGATACCCTGGAAATTCAGTGTCTGGTTTGTTTCGAATCTGTAACACCACTTGCAGTTGAGTACTCTTGTGGCATTAGCTCGCTGCAATCTGCTCCCTCAGTGTATTTACAGCTTCTCTCCATGAGAGCTTTACAGAGACACTAAGTAAATATCCGGGAGGCTGGGGGGCCATCATCTCCATACGAGTCCCCAGAGCTCTGAGCAATAGCTTTCCCTCCCACTACCCGCACAGGGGCAGTATTGAGCCATTTTACCGTAAGCACGTCTCATTTCAGCTCTGCACAGTTGTGGTACCTCCCACTGCCTGCAAAGCAGGAGCTTCCTTGCTCAGCTCTTGCAGCACTTACTGTGAGAAACAATCCACAGGCATGCCAGGAGTATGTGATGCTGGTTGTCCCAGTTGAGGTAGTATAAAGTGTGCATGAAACCCCTCAAACATCTCTCTCTCCTCGGCAGGATGAGGCCTTTGCTCTGTGGATTGAGCAGTGGGCCAAGCTCTACGAAGAGGAGTCGCCCTCTCGCATGATCATCCAATACATCCACGACAATTATTATTTGGTCAACCTGGTGGACAATGACTTCCCACTTGAGAACTGCCTCTGGCAGGTTGTGGATGATACTTTTGAGCTGTTGAACTCTCCACCTCAGCAGTGAAAAACTCGTTTGCTCCCTTAGTTCTCCCTTCCATCTGCTGACTGCAAGGAGAGAAAAAGCAGCTCCTTTCAGAATGCTGGACCAGAGGCTCCTAAACCCAGTCAGCGTTGCTGCTCAGAGTCAGGCAACTCTGATCAACCCCCATTACAAGCTCTTCTATCCCGACAGAAATGTTCCTTATCCCTTTCCACTGAACAGTAGCCAGAAGAACCACCTGTACTTCTGAGCTGAGGTTCTCTGTTGAGCTTGAACGCCAGCTCTGCAGGATGGAGGGGTGCTCACCATGGTTATGTTGATCACAGCTTGTAGGAGAAACCTTGCACACCAATGTGGTACAGCTCAGTGGAAGTCTGGCAACTTTGTTCTGCAAGGCATGCTGCTTTGGGGGCAGAAACACTCCTGTCAACAACATCTATGCAAGGAAGTTGATGCAGCAGCTACCAACCATAAAAAGAAGCTCAAACTGCTTTTACGTTGCACTCCAAAGATGTATTGCATTACAACTAATATCAGACTCTTTTTGTGCTCACTCCAGAAGAAGGTTTAATCTTTCCTAACTTTTCCTCTTAGCTGTACTTCCTGATTTTTAGGTTTTTTCTTAATGGGAATATGAATTCCACTTCTGGATGTGATCAAATAGGAATCACTCTACTTAAATGTACAATAAACTACATGTATACAAGTGTCTCTTGTACTAGACTAGATTATCTTAAGCAGCACAAAGAATAACGCTTGTAAACTAATCAACTTGGCCCAAGGGAAAGCTTTAAGAAAACAACTGATTGCAAGGCAGTGCTGCCTCCATTTCTAACACATGCCCCAAAGGAAATATGGACAAAGGAATAATAACCACCCATGGCCCCTGCCTCAGTTCTGCATGGCCACAAGAGTGGTAGTCCTTCTCCTTTCCTAGCTGTAGGAAAAAAATAACCTAATCTTTCTTGACCTAATGACTCCAGCAGACTTAGGCCTTGCACCAGTGAAAGAAGGGGCGGCGGAGGCTGCATTGTCCTTAATCCTGCAAAGCTACCCCAGGCTAGGAAAAACAAGACCTTGGGGCAGCTCCCAGTGGGATTTCAAGATCCCTGCTAAGCTGCAAGCATCTCTTTCAAACAAGCAAGGAAGAAAAGCCTTTTCGAGATTCTTCAAACCCTCTCATTACAGCTGTCTGAGACTGGGCTCATATATCCAGGGTAATTACAGGGCATCAATCACAGGAGCAAGTAATGGGAAGGTTGGGGGTCAGACACGCCTGTCTTCCCCCAGCAAAGCTTTTGGTGCTCAGCTGTTCCCAGCAGGTTTCTTCATCCCTAGCCCATTCAGTGCAGAAAGAAACCAGCAGGAAGCAGTCAAGAGGTTGGCCACCCACTGAAAGCCTTAATGAAGAGCTGATGGACTTGGACAGGGGGTGGGGGCCAAGTGGGAATCATCCCAACCACCCAAGGGAAGAGCCTAATCTTAAAAATAAGGTCTCTGTTCACAGTGACCAGCATCAGTCCAAACTTTGGAATCGACAGCATGTAGCATTTCCACAGACACATTCCTGCTCACTTCTTCAAAACCACAGTTTGCTTAGTCCCTTACATGACACTAAGCTCTCAATTACCAAAAAAAAAAAGTTAAGGGAGGTCCTATAAAGTATTTTTTGACTTTTAATCAGAACTCCAGCAAAATCAGGCTCTAGCAGAAAAGGGAATGCAACCTCACAACAAAAGCCATTAAGCAAGTTCTCAAGTTTGTGCAGTAGGGAGGCAGAATATCAGTCCTTAAATAAGACCTTTCTCTGGATACCACCTCTTCCTGGTTGTCCTCTGGCTATCACCATGCTTTGGGCTTGCAGCACTGTTTTTAATCACACAGGTAGATCATGCACTGCTTTCTAGATTGCAGGAGACCAGCTCTTTGTTGTGACTGCCAGCTGTATCCTCCACTCCTGAAATGAGCAGCTGCAGGCAGGCCCCACACTCAGCAGTGTCCTCTGTCCTTGAGTTGGAACACTGTGAGCTGACGCCATCTTCCAAACGCCTGAAGTAGAGGGGACAAATCAGAAACTCAGGTTGCCCTGGAGGGACTGCAGCCACCCTCACAGCACCAGTGAACCCAGCTCTTTCTCTAGCAGTGGCCAAGCCAGATGCCTCTCTGTTCACTTACTGTCTTCTCCATCCCCCGTGTTACTGTAGCCAACAAGGGAAGTGAAGAGTACAAATCAAAGTGACAACCTCCTCCCTCTGCCCTCCTTTCAATACTTGCGCTCATCGTGTAAAGGAGGACTTAATCCTGCATGGACCTTCAGGAGGCAGAGGAGGGAAGCGACTATTTGAGATACTGGGCTTTGCTTGCACATTCAAGTTTACAACAATTTGCCTGACCTGGGTGCAAGTCACCACAGTCCTCCAGTAACAGTGTGGAGCCTGACTGTTCCCTAAATGGGCTCTCAAGAGGCAGAGGATTCATGGATAAAGATCCTGTTATGTGCCCCTTCAAACCCTTATCAGAGTTCTGCTACCCCAAAGATAAAGCTAAATAAAGCTGAAAGCTACTTCCCCTTGTTTTGGGCAAGTCCCATTTCTTGATGTATTCAACTTCTCCTTGATGTATTCAACTTCTCCTTTCAGTAGTGCTTTGTCCAGGGAGGGAAATACAGGGAACATCAGTTGTCCCTTTGTGGTGTTTGCTGATCCACCACAGAGCCTGGCATCTTCCACCTTTCAATTCCTTAGTAAAGGCACACACCCACTCACCCTCACAGTAAGAAGAAGCTGTTTCCCACAAAATGACATAGGTGTCTGGAACTCATTTTACATCCCTCTAACCACAAACTGCCATTTGCTCATTATCTTTCTGATGGGACACTTCACAGGAACAAGGAAGCACGTGGGCCCAGACATAGCTCCATGTTCTGTTTCACCTTCCAGGTGGCAATAAGGGATAGCCCTCCCTGGAGTCTTGGCACCTTGAGCTTAGATCTGAACCTTTTAACCCTTATGGTTGTACCAGAGTTCTGGGGTTCTAAGAATAAAAGCAGCCTTGAGTGCTTACCTCAGACAGTAGGCTTCTGGCTTCAACCTCCAGAAACCTCTGCACTACACAGCTTTGTAAATACCGACGTCTCCATGCTCTCCAGGCCTTTTCTATCAGCCGCTGCTGGTCCTGCCAGGAAGAAAGGCAGTGCACAGATTAGATCATAGAATGGTTTGAGTTGAAAGGGACTCTTACAAGCCACTTGCTCCAACTCCTCTGCAATAAACAGGGACAACCGCAGCTCCATCAGTGCTCAGAGCCCCCTCCAGCCTGACCTTGGGTATCTGCAGGGATGGGGCACTGCCAGCTCTCCGGGCAACCCGTGTGCCACTGCCTCACTGCCTTATTGTAAAAAACTTCTTATATCCATTCTAAATCTCCCCTCTTTTTGTTTGAAACCATTTCATCTTGTCCTGAGCAGAGGGGAGACAAATGACAGCTGGTATTTCAAAGAGAAAGCTGGATAAAGTAGCCACAGCAGCAAACTGGAATTTTATGTGCACATTTGAGCATGTTAAATCCCCAGGTCTCATCTTCTAGAATGTAGTGGAGGCTGCAAGCATAGTGGGCTTATCCACTAACACCCATCATTGACACCCACGTGGCAGTACCACTCACCAACACCTGTGCCAGCATCACCACCCTGCTGGCTTCTTTCCACTGCTGCCAACCCCTTGCCAGACTGCGCAGCCTCCTGGCACGCTGGCAGCGGTGCAGCGTCACCGTGTGATGCCACCACCTCAGGTACTTCCTCCTGTAGGCAAGAAAATGAAGAAAACAAGCTTTTGTCAGAGAGTCTTTCCCTGGTGGCAGAACAGTGATGAAGCTCAGAGCCCTCCAACTCTGCCTACCCAAGCCAATTGTCATTCCATTCATCGGAGTCCACCTCTGCTTTGTTCTCCTGGATCCTGGCACGCCCAGGGACAGGTCCTACCAAATCATGTCTCTCTAGCTGTTGAGGGAGCAGCAGCCTTTCAGTCCTCCTTTGGCTTCTGTAGATCACCAGCCAGCGGTGAACAGCACTGGGAAAAAACCCAAGGGAAGCAGCTGGAGCTGAGCCTTTCTCTCTGCATCCTCTGCTTTCTAGGAAAGAAAAGAGGAATCACACAGGAGCTAACAGAAGGAAGAGATTAGAGTTGCCACAGGTTCTCAGTCCTTTGGACACTGAAAACAGAAGCAGTTCACAGTCAAAATTTGACTGCAGTTAGCATCTGCTTCAGAGAGAAACCCCAGTCATTAGGTTGGCAAGCACCTCTCCCCCTCCCTGCTCACACACCCCATATGGCCCCACAAAAGGAAGAGAGAATGGGGTATCTTACTTATGGACAAAGACAAGGAGATCTTCTTGCTTTTCCTAGCACCTATCAGGGTACTGCATTGCCGTGAGCACTGGGAAAAGGCAGCTGCTTTTGTCCAATAGTTGCAGGCCTGCAAACAGAATTAACACAGCTGCAACCAAGTCTGAACACATGCACACATACAGCACAGAAACTAGCCTTACAGATACACTTATGTTCATATCCCTGCAGGTAGTTTAATGTGCTAGACCCCAGGCTGGAAACTGCACAGATGAGACCCCAGCAGGACTGACTCAGTCTTTCAAAAAAAATCAATCCAGCTCTTTGTGGTTTATTAGCTGTGAGCCTTTTGAAATAGTATGCACCCCTGACAGCTCTGTCTGCTCTGTGGGGACAGTGATTATCCCATCCCACCTTTGAGCAGAGAGGAAGGAGTGCTCTTGTCTCTCTGGTCAAAAATATCCCCACTCCTTAATACTGTGCTCCAGATGGTTGCCAGATTATGGTGATGAAGTTGTTTGCACAGTCTGTAAAGAATTTCAAGGCAGAAACTAAGCAGTTACCACAGTTAGGACAAGCCAAACCAGGTTTTCCTACAAGCCCTGTCAATGCAGCTCAGTGCTCGGTGACCCACAAGCCAACTGGGTGTTCTAAATCATCTCAGGAGGACTTTTTTCTTACCTGTTTCACAGTGGCCACAGACCCCAAGTGCAGGGCTTGCTGTCCCCTTGAGGCCAATCGCCAGCGCTGACAGGCTTTAGCTTGAGAACATCCATGCCACGTGTGGCTTTTCTCCTCTCCCAGCAACTGCTGTTTAGCTGTCATGAACTTCACTCTCCATTCTGCAAAACTCACTTCCAGAAGATGCTGCTCTCTGACCCTTCTAAAATAACAGAGGGCTTCTTGCTGCCTCAGTCTGCAGGCAGTGACCTGGGCCCAGATGACTATGCACCTGAAAAACAGTACAAATGCAGAAAAGTGCTCTTTATCAGCACCAAACAGACAATGGGCCAAATTCCACCTTCTCAACCCACTCTGCAGTGTTACGTATAAGTGGTCAAAGGAGTATGACTGCTCCCTTCTGGCCATTCCAGTGTTGCAGCTCTTTAAATACCCCTACAAACAGAATACAATATTACATTTTCCCTCTGCTGACAAGAAAAAGAAAGAATTAAATTAGTCAGTCTGATCTTTCCCTGTGCCAGCAGCTGATCTTTAGGATGATGCTTTATAGAGAAAGGCTGTTTACTTGTGGAGTAAGAGTAATGACACTGCTGAAATTTCCTTCAGCACAATCCCAGCAGACCCAGTTAAGTCTTCCTGCTGCAGAACCAAGCTGGATTCAAAATAGCATCTCACTGTGAAGATGCAGATTTTCCTCTTTTTCTTGGCTGAAACGCTGAGGGTCTGCTGTACACAGAATATATGGCTGGAAAAGAATTATTCAAATTTTATTCAAGATTTTATTTAACAAATAAACAAATCCTACAGTGTGTACAGGAGGAGACACAATTAACAGCACCGCAAATCTGCACCTACAATAACTCCTCCTCTATCTACTCTGATGCATGGAGGGCAGCCTCCCTGCACAAACCCAGAAGCAAATCTGCTTTTAACTCTTGGCTCGTCCTGTTGGTTCCTCATTCCACTTGGGTTTTCATTATGCAAACTGCCCCACTGCACCATGGGACGGAGGTGTAAATATCCTCTGCCTGGCAGGCTTCTCTGAAGATCAAGAGAATCTATTGCAGGTTATCCTAGCATGAAAAATGCCCCCCTCAGAAGAAACAGGGCTCAGCCTGCACCACAGTCATGCTGACTGGCAAGCTGATTTATTTATTGACATTAAGGTGAGAAATTAGAGGCGATCTCCCATCAAAAGAGGGCTCAGAAGGAAGATTAATGGTGGAGGCACTCTACGGGAAGGAGCAACATGAAGGACTTCTCCGAAACACAATTCCCACTAGGGTGCCACCACACAGATTGATTTGCAGAAGAAAATGCAACTGGGTGGGGTGAGCATAGAGTCTAAGCATCACAGCTGCTAAGGTTTTACTGGGTTTCTTTTTTGTTGCTGCTTTTTCCTGACCTTCTCTCCTTCTGAGGCTGAGCCTGCAATTCATAAGTAAATCTGCTAGGAACAAACCTTCACTTCCCATGCCTTAAATGAATCCTTGGCATAAATCATCTCACTGATCAAACGGGTCTGAATACACTGGATCTGCTGCTACATAAATTGCTCTTCACTCAAAGCTTCCCTTGGAAATGCTTCAAAGAAAGGAAACAAACCTGTGCAGGAGGAGACGCTCCCAGAATAAAGCAGCATTTTTCAGCTGCCTTGTTTGGCAGCGCCACGTCTGCAGGATCAATCTCTTCTTCTCCTGGCAGCTATGCTGAGCCCATCTCTGCTGCAGCTCCTTCATATTACACTTCCCTATGAGAAAAGACAGAAGCTTGCTGAGATAAGTTCTACTTCTCCCTCCCCCATTACAGCATCCACACAAGAGCAGACAATACACCTGCTGCAAATTGCAGTCTAGGAAATCTTAGTCTGGCCCATCATCTCCCAAGCAGCTGAAAAGACTACTTAGTTCACCCCTTCCCCAATCAGCCTCCCTGATTGCATCTCCCTAGCATCAGTTATACACAGAACAGGACAATAAGGCTCTCACTCGCCCCTAGACTAATGTTCACACGCCTACAACCAGAAGCAGGAGTTTCTCCAGCCCAACCATTCCCACAGTGTTCTTATACAGAGGTAAATGCTGCTGTAGGATGGAGTAACTTACTTTGACAGTAGGAATGCCAACGCCGAAGAGCATCAGCAGTCATCTGGTGGAGGTGACTCCTGAATCTCTGGTCAGCTTCCACTTTCTGGGCCAGTCTCTTCTTCCACAAGCTGAAAACCATCCGGCAGCAATTAAGCTGGTATTTAAGGGCTGCTGCTACTTTTTGGTTCTTGTTCTCTGCAGCCCAGTGGTGCCATCTGAGAAAGGCTCTGAGAAAGAAAAAGATCATTGGAGCCATCTGTAGGAATAACTCAGACAGAGTCATACATTTGGAATCAAAACCTTAACAATAAATATATGTGAGATATTTTAGGAAATGCATCATATCTGTTCAGATCCTTTCCTAAGTAAATGTCAGGGTAAACCAAAGGCAGGGCAGGGTGTAAGGGAGTAAAGTATTCTGTCCTGGCTGTGCCAAGTCTTCCGTTCTCTGCAATTTCTGAATAAGTAGAGAGCAAGGCCAGTTCAGGAGATAGGAAGTTACCAAGGCTTGACACCAGCAGCACTGGGCTCACTCTAACTTCTGAGGCAGCTCATCAACGCAGAGAGAACAGCATTTAGATATAATAATTTTGAAGCAGGAAAATAAAATAATGGGCTGCAAAACTTCCACTGAAAAAGAGGGGGCTTCTTGAAAAGCAAGTGTGGAGCTCCTGAAACAGACAGCTTTAGGAAACTTCGGAGAAGCACAATACCTACCGAGACAGCTGCAGAAGCCTGCAGTACTGCTGGGCCTTTGTGAGTTGCTGAGTTCGAGTGGACCAGATGATGAAGTACTTCTCCAGGCAGCATTTCTCCACATGGTGCCAGGAACTCTTCACCTCCTTCTCAGAGCTGCAGTCCTGTAATTCAGAAAAACAAAGTCCTGAACTGCTGTTTAGACACAGTCACTCCCTACAGCTCAGCCTGTTCTTGCTGCTGTGACTTCTGTGGAAGTGACAACTAAGTCTCTGTTGCTAATCATGCCCCTACACTCACACACATCTATATACAAGGGTCTGACATGATTTTTAAATCCCAGGCAGATGGACAACTTCCAATTCAACTAGAAAGTGAACAGGAAGAGCTGCCCTAAGATGTAGCTCAACCCCCCCCTCCCCCCAGGCCTTCTGTTCAATCACAAGAAGAGAAGAAGTGAGATCTTCCATATCCTGACACCTGAAACCCAAAGGCTCTTTCCTCATTTGGGCCACGCAAAAAGCAGTTATACATTTACATGCATTGCATTCATTTTTGGGTCTCACCTCTTCCCATGTAGAGTAACTGACAAGAGGCTGGACATCACTGTCTGCACTCTGCAGTGCCAAAGACTGGAACTGACCTCCCACAAACCAATTTTCTCTGCAAGAAAAATACGTCAGTCAGGAAAGCAAGAGAAAGAAGAAAGTATCTGTAAGGCTGTTGTGAGATGGTGTGAGTGACTATCCTGAAAGAATGAATTTGGTCAGACCAAACAACCAGCATCCCAAGGAACAAGTCTCCAACTTACCCAGATCTAGTCCTCCAGGGAGGAAAGGAAGCCTGCAAGCACAGCTCCCCACCCAGCTCAGCTGGCAGCTCTGCACATTGGTGTAGTTGCAGGAAAGAATTGTAATAGGGCAGGTATGGCACATCCTCAGCAGTCAGAACGGAGGAGCAGCTCTGCTGGCTGCTGTCACTAAAACTGTATTCCTGCATGTAAGGAGAGAAAAAGACACCATGAGACAAGTGTTCTAACAGTAGAATTACTCTGCTAACAGTTCTGACCATTCTGACCATGTCATTTACACCTCCTTTCAGCCAAGAATCAGGAAAATCCAGAATGCATCCAAAGGAAATGCAGGCTAGCAAGGGCAGCTCCAGAGCACAAACACATCCTTGATGGGAAAGCAAGCCATCACAGAGGCAGCAAATATGCCTGTTTGACCTTTTCTCAGTGAAGAGCTTGTTTGTATTTCATCCCTTCCACCTTGCAGCCACAAACAGGAACAAAGTACACACGAGAACCACACTAACTCAGCAGTTCCCAGTATCACTACATGAGGAGAGATGAGAGAGAAGTGAGTTTACAACTTCTGATGCCAGGACCCTACAGCCTGAGAGCTCTTCAGGTCTAAATACTGAGCACAGTTTCTTAATGACAATTCCACATTGAAGCAGAATTTATTTCCTGAAAAATCCCAATTTCAGAGCTGTTTGTACATAGAGGACAGAGAAAGGACCTGTAACAAAACTTCCTCACCTTTTCCAGTGAGCTTTGAGAGGCAAGAGTAGTTGTAGCACTGCTGTGGAAGCCAGAAGATGTTGAGCGTTCCTCACAAAACAGCACAGCAAGAGGTTCTTCATAGACAGCCCTGTGAGAGAGCTGAGGACTTTGTTTGTTTGTCTTCAGTATGAGATACTTCTGGTGCCATAATTTCAGAGCTTTTCTGAGTCTACGCTCCTCCAAAGCCTGAGAGAAAGAACTGAGACAGAAGATATTGAGATGGCAAAGTGACTGAAGAGAGATACCAGAGGGGGACACTAGTAAAGATTAGATGGATAACAGATAGAACAAGAGGGAGTCAAGTGGATACAACCAAAGAAGGCTCCAGGAACTGGTTTTGTCACTCACTCAGCTCTGCAGTGCTCGTACAGCCTCTCCTTCCACAACAGATACACTCTCTGGAGTTTCATCTTTAGGCAGAAGTCATCAAGAGAGTAACCTGTTTTCTCAGGAAACTGTGGCACTGCAGCCCACCATGGCCAGCTGTCATCACCTTCTGCTGTAGTTCTGTGAGATACTGAGCTTACAGCTGGTCCTTAGCCAATTATAGAGATTGACAAGAGAAAACAATTGTCAGAAAGCATTCATATGAAACTCAGTCCAGCCCAGCTCTCTAACAGCTTTCTTTCAAGACTTAAGGCTTAAGGCTTTCTTCTAGGTCTATGAAATAGGGACCAAACTGCTTATAGCATTGGAGACACATCCAGAACAACTAGCCCTCCACCTATTGCTCATGGTATTTCTTAGTTACATGTACTGAGAACTGGAATGGGTTGCCCAGGGTCCTGGGGACCTTCAAACTCAGGCTGGATGGCTTAGAGCTCTAAGCAACCTGATCTAGCTGTAGATGTCCTTGTTCATTGTGGGGGAGTTGGACTAGATCACCCTTAAGGGTTCTTTCCAACTCAAAAGATTCTGTGGTTCTATTTATTATCTGTGTCTCTCTATTATCAGGCTGTTTTCAGTTGTTTTTCAGGCTTCAGTTCACTGTACAAGTGGAGAAGGAATAAGTCTCAGCAACTCCAAATCTTAGGTGCTCCACAAGCCCCATGACACTCACCATAATGCTGCCTCCATCTCAGAAGGAGGAGGTTCACCACTGCCTGCTTATTGCTTTCTCTGACCCGCAGCATCTGAAACCACTGCTGGAAGTATTTCCTCATTGATTCTACTCTGAGATGTGTCAGGCTGCTCTTGTAATAAGCCTTTAGCTCAACAGCCTCCTTCCATGCACTGAAGCACCTGAGAAAGACCAAAGGAAAACAGAATACTGAACTACTAAATCTTTTTCTGGACTTTGACTTCTGAGTCCTTTAAATCAAGTTTCTACTGCCACTAAAATCAAATCTATTTTGACCAAAATATATTTCTACCTTTATTAACTCCTGAAATAAAATAAAAAGATGACTTTAAGATGGAGCAACGCATCATTATCTGGATTGGCACCATCATTCCTTGGACTTCCAGAATGAACTTTTTTCCACATTAAAAATACATCTCATCAACTTACCGGGAGACCAATTTCCTTTGGATCCAAATTGTCAGCCCTAAAATCTTTTTCTTTTCCAAATATCGGGACTGCCACACCTGGAAAATGTTTTGTAGCCGCTTCTTTTCCATCAGGGCATATGCTTCCAGCAGCCTGCCTTCCTCATTGCTCAGCAGCTCCTTCTGAAGGCGCCACAGTCTGAAAGCTGCTGTGTTACAGGGCAGGAACAGATTGACAGGAAGAAAAGCAACTTAGAAGAACTTGAAACAGCTTAGTGTCACACAGCAATCATTTCCAGGCTGAACTCTAGCTGTCCGGAAAAGGCACTTAATGGAGATAGATCACACTGCTGGAGCAACAGTATCTGCTACAGCTGAATTTATATAAGCAGCAAAGCAGAAGCGTAAGGCAGGGCAGGTAAGCCAGCCTCTACCACTACAGATATTAGCCCAGCTGTTTGCAGGATCAGTTTCTAGAAGAGCCAGGTCAATGCAACAACTACACCCTGACCAAGAAACATGGTGAAACAATGGCTCCATTCAGGCTGCTCCACAGAGCGCGTGCTTACCAGCTAGGCGCCTCACATCTCTTATTGCTTGAGCTCTCCAGCAGAACTCATCTCCTCTCTGCCTGCGATGAAGCTGTGTCCACAGTTTGCTCTCCACCCTGAAAGTTGCGAGTATGCCTTAAAACCCTTCTGTCCAGACAGATGCAAAGTGAATCCAGAGCCTCCCTTCTCCCTGGGTAGCCCTATCTTTTTGTCCAGATTTGCTCTCCTGCCTTCAGAATCAACAGGATGAATGATGGTCTTTTCTTTTGACCATCTCGTGTCCTGCTAGACTGTGGTATTGGAGTGGAACAATACTATTTACACTCATATTCCATATGCAGGAGATAGCTGAACTCAAGAAAGAGTACAGCACAGCTGTGTCAGACACAAATCAGACTGGAACAGTAGTGCATTATAAACTCTAGGATACCAATTACTGCAGCAGTTATCTGCAGCAAGCAATCCATTCACAGACCCGGACACAAGTTTCACACCCTCTGATAAAAATGTCTGTAAACCTCCACTTGTCTGAGTTACAGTAGGAGAATCCTCTCAGCTTACCTACAAGCCTGCTCAGCTTCCTTCATGTATCCTTCCGTAAGCTGGTGCTGAGCTGAGGTTGTCATAGTTGCTAATCTTCCTATTCCAGAAAAACCCACTGATGAACTTTGGGTACATGAATATGACTCAGACTGTGCAGCTTGTTTTTGGCTCTGTTTTGTCACAGCTTCCTTCCACTGAAGAAGGAACCACATGGTTAAAACAAACTGTAGGCAGAGTATCAGCAGAAGGGTCCACATCACTGAATTTCAAACAGGTGCCACCTGTACTGCCCCTGGCCCATCCTCACCTTGTGGAAGCTGGCAGCTAAAAGAGCTGAGGCACATCTTTGCTGGGCTACCAAGCCAAAAGCACTGAGGGCCTTTTGAGGCTGCTGCTGCCTTGCTGCAGCCTTCTTCCAGCTGACGTGGTCCCTCCAGGCATGGAAACACCTAGTTACCATTTGTCTGTCAAGTAAGTGCTGGAAACTTTGAGAGAAAAAGCACAAGTGAGCTCCAATAACATACAAAAATTAAACACAGACAGAAGGTGGCAATCAGACTTCAGGCATCAAACTGAAAAGAAATTCCCTCTAAAGAGTGAAAAACCTGCAGCCTCACACCACACTAAGATGTCCATCTCACGCTCTTCTGATCCACAGATGACAAATTTCAATCCCATCTCATGAATAAGCCCTGTTCTTGATCTTCACTAACTCTGGAATGAGCATGCTACAATTTGCTGCAGTGAAAGGTTATGTGTAGTACCAATGCTTTTTCCATCGCTATAGTAACTAAAGTTGAATTTAGAAGGAAGAATTTTAAAGATAAAAATACTGGTTTTTAAAGTACACTCCATTCTAGACAGCCAGCTTTTGAAAACAACCAGATGTAGCTCCTGAGCCAACCATGGAAGATCCACTGCTAAATCCTAAAGCCAGGAATGGTTCCTCAGCCACTTTCCAGCAGTTTTCCTCCCATTAGCTACCAGCACACTCACATGAAAAATTCTGAGTCCTTTTTACCTTTGCTCATTCACCTTTGGAGACCAGCAGCTGTTCTCTGACACCTGAAAACAGACAGAAGACAACAGTCATTCCAATACCCTACTGTCAAAGAGTTTGCCTGTGCCCAGCATGGTAAGCCATTTTGGATGGAGTCCAGAACAGTCCTGCTAAGCATTGCGTGTTACATTGGGTGCTTTTGCTCTGAAAGCTCTCACACACTTCAGCCACTAAAAGGCACAACAAAACTGGAATCTCAGGACCCTGCAATTAAGCAGGGAAGAAAAATTGCTTAATGCTTTTGGTCCGCATGTAGATCCTGGGAATATAAACGGGTCTTCACATTCCCAAGACCAACCAAGTGAACAAGCTGGTGTTTAGGAAGATGCACGCAAATGTTGAGATGGAGAAGGACCAGAAAGAGGAGATTCTGACCATTCAGAGCCAGAAAAATAAATGACAAGCATTTCCATCACTGCTGGGCTTCACCTTTGCACTTCTATCAAAAAGTAGAAATAAGCACAGTATCTGCTATTAGGGATGCTACACAGCGAGCCCACCCTCACCTCACTGGGCACAGCTTCCTGTGTCTGGCTCCCTTCTTCACAGCACCGTGGTTCTTTGGCACTCTTCTCTACGCAAGGTTCTTCACGGTGGTCAGGAGCTTCCCAGTTCCTCCAGCTGCTTTGCTGGAAGTGTCTGTTTCTCCTTTCTTCTCTGTTTGCATTCACATGTTCTATGTTGGAACAGTCACCAATGTCTTTTCCAACCTGAGTGCTGAAGAGGCTGGACTGGCTGTCCCCCACTGCCATCCTGCTGGCTGCTGGAGATCTACAGTCACATACCTCTTCTAAGCCTTTGCCGGACTCAACAGGAGGTTTGGGGTTCTTGATTTCTACAGATTTAATGCTAAGTTGCTGTACTGGCCTAAACTCTTGATCTCCAGAAGTGACTCTTACACACACTTCTCTTGGAGTCCCATACATGGATATGCCAACGTTCATCTGAGTCCCAGCCAACCACGTTTCCAGCGACACGTGCTGACCCTCAGGGTGGTTTTTTATCCAAGGCATAGCACATAGGGATGCCTCACCAGATGTCCCTTCTGCTTTAAGAACCTTTTCACATGAATGATTTCTTGTATGAACATAAAACCCACCAGTTTCCAGAGTTGGCTTTGGCTGGGACTGGCATCTGAAATAAGGCGAGCAATCGTTGGAAGAATCTTCTGTATCCACAAGCCTGCCAGAGCCCATCCCAGCAGACAGCCCATCTGGATGGATGCCACCTGAAAGTTTGGTTCTCCACATGCTCGAGTCAATGTATCTGCATCTGTGAGAGACAGAGAGAGGTTCAGCGTGCCCAAAGTCCCTCGTCACTGCACCAAGGCTCGTGCCTTTAGCAAATGGAATGCTCCATCTCAATCTTGCCTGAGCAGCGCTAGTTTTTGCTCCAGCTAGCTGTTCTCCTGTGCTCAGGATAGTAGGAGCTGGATCATCAGGAGCAAAGCACAAACTGTCACTGACTGGAAAAGACTTGGGCTCCAGAGGAAGGGAGGCCCGGCTCCCCATGAAAGCAATTTCTTGCTTCAGCCTCCAGATTGAACAGTACAAAGCAGCAGAAATTTGTGAGGACTGCAAAATAGGCTGAAGGGACTCCAAATTAGATGGACTGAGATCACTTGAAGTCAGGGCTGAACTACAAGTGTTGATGCTTTCCCTTGAGCTCCTTGAGGAAATACACAACACTAATTTGTGTCTAAGAGGGCAATCTACAGCATGAAATGGCAAAGGTGTATTGACCAGCAAAGGGTTCTCAGTATCCATACAAGACACAGCAGGTGGCTGCTGCTTTTCCACTGGATAGTCACTGTTCTTGTTTTTTCCTTCTAAACAGTGATGATGAGCAGTAGGCATAGAGCAGCTACCAGCTGCCTTTGCTTTCTGACTGTGCTGCTGAGGAAGGCCAAAATTCTCATTCCTTCTCCCTTCTAAGCTATAAGCCTCAAGGTGAGAGTGTCCCTGAGGGAGTTCTGCAGCAGGAAGTGTGGACACAGCAAGATGAGGAGTCCTGTGAGCCACGTGCTTCAAGATGTGCTGCTGCAGCTTAGAGTAGAGATTATTTTGCAGCTGGGAGCAGGAACTGGAGAACTGACTGGTGGTATCCTGGAACAGCTGAGAAGGCCAGGAGAGGTCAGTCTGTAGCAGTCTGGGCTCTCTCTGCCCAGCTGACTGTGATGAGGTGCACAGCCAGCACTGTTCTGTCTGCCTGTGAGTTACACTGAGTGCAGCAGCCTCAAGCCAGTGATGAGAAATATCTGCTCAACTTCTCGCACCCGAATACAGATCAACATTCACATCCTTCTGAAAGTTTCTTTGCTCTGAAGAAAAACAAGAAGAAACATAAACAAAGGAGCATGCATATTTCTCGACCTATCTTCCCTCGTTTGCCACAGGCTTTGGGTACTTTCCTACTAAGTCTCTTTGTCCCCAGTCCACCAGCCTTAATCCTGGAAGTAATATGGCACTATATCCATCCTGCTGTCAGCAGACAATCACAACCGAGAGCAGGAATGACTGAAGGGAAAGACTTAATCTGCAACAAAACTGCTGGAAGAGAAAGACTTTAAAACAAACACAAGTCAGAGCAACCTGGTTCCATCTGGATTACAATGATTACCCTCTCTTCATTGATCAGAAATCAAATTCACATCTCCTCCATGCCCATTTTCTCCATGGCTGCTAGCAATGGTGCTGCCTGGACTTAAGGTACTGTTTAACTGTGTGTCAATTTCAGGTTCATCCACAAATTGTGTTGCAGCCCTGCAAAGGCTGAAGGCTACATAGGGCAGTTTCTCCTTATCCACACTACAGGACAGAATCGTGTTTAAACATGCAGAGAATTGACACTGTCCCCCAATTTGGAAGAATTACAACATACATGGGAGACCTAATTTGCAGTCTAGCCACTAAGTCAGATGGTTACACATATAGATCTCATGCAGAACAGATCCTTAAGTTGTGGATAACAGCAGTAAGTGCCATTCAAGGGAACTGTGCTTTCATTCCCTCAAATTTTAAATGCAAATGCCAATTGCTGTCAATCCAAGCATTCTTTGCCAATCCTCTTCTAAAAAATGAAAATGATGGGGTGAAAAAGACACACAGCTAGATCATCTTTAAAAAAAAAAAAGAAAAAAAAAAGAGAAAAAAAAGCCCAAACAGCCAACATATGAAAGACTGCAGGAAATAAATGCCCACCATCTTTTTCAAACACAATCAAGTAGCAGAAGGTCTCCATTCAAGTGGCATTGTTTCCAAAGTATGTGAGCCTCGGACATCCCTGGCTGCAAGCAGCCATATAAACTCCTTCAGTAACCACCACAAGGAGGGGACTGCCAAATGGACAGTAGGTCATCATGCAGTGTTGCAATTATCCTTGGGAACTGGTGTTTCTGCCTTTGAAATCTCACCAAATGCACCGTTTTTGTTTTTTTCAAGCCAAGTAGAAGTTGGCAACTTACAGAGCGAGCAGACAAAGCACTGCTACCTTCTTTAGGGCATCTCTCACTGCAACCAACTGTAACATCAAAATGTAGAATGGCATTCTGCAGGAGCTCTCCTTGCATCCCAGGAACACCCAACCAAAGATATCGCACAGAAGTTTTACAAAGGGTTTGGAATTGTCAAACTTACCAGCTCTGGTTTGTTCCATGAACATCTGGAACTTTGGCTCTGGGTTGCTCTGTTGTTTTTTCACTTCAGCAGTTCTTTCTCAATATTGAGAATACTCAATACATTGCCATGCTGATTTGAGTTGTTTTTCACCTGACATATCCCTAATTTCGGTCTCACTGAGACCTGAAAGAGAATGCCTCCATTAAAACTCTTGTGTGTTGTCCTTTCTGTGATTACCATTCAGACCTTACTGTAGCCACTTATAAGCAGTATTTAATCCTACTCGAAAGGCAGGAAGATTTTATGAAGTGCCTTTTAAAATTCCCTCTAAGGCCACAAGGCAAACAGCATATTGCAAACTGCAGAAATCCACAACCAATGGATTCCATATGAGCTTTTATGCCTGTAAGCATTTAACGCGTGCGTAGCATGATGCTAATGCATTAAAACCCAAAATAAATCCAATTCTGCAAACAAAAATTAAGCTGATCAGTTTACCTCTGTACTACAAGCAAAGTAGATAGCACAGCCGATGGGAAGCAAATAAAGCTCTTTCAAGTGAGCACCACTCGAGCATTATGATATCGAGGAAGATAAATGACAAACACAAGTACTGCACAGATAACTCCATTCTTCCCACCCCTGCTGACCGAGGCTCATGTTCCAAGTTGGAACCAGCGATTGGTTCGACACCACACCAACACGCTTCCAATCACAGAACCAACAGCACAGAATGCCTCAGAAACAAGACTTCTGCCCCCCAAACCAAACCATCACCATTACGGCGAGCTTGGCCTCGAGCCTCGTGGCTTAGTACTCCTCCCCAAAATATAGAGAAGACGGTCACTGCTCCAGCAGCTGAGACACTTACTCACTGCCAGGGCTGCTGGCCATACTGCTCGGCCTCGCCAGAACCCAGGGGGCAGATCAGCACCTCTTTGTCTGCTCCTCTGAAGGCAGGGGCAAACCGGCTGCTTTGTCCCCCCTCAACTCCCAACTCCAGCAGTGAGCTCACTCCAGCTGGGCTGCCCTAAGCAGCTTATCCCCTCCGATTAGCAATGCCGCCTGTCACCAGGGCTGCAGATGGCCACGGGAAAGCGGCTCTCGCCCACGGCTAATTAGAACAGCGTTCTCAAGGCAGCCCAGACGATGTGGGGTCTGGCACGGCAGGGCAGCTCAGCCACGACCTCTCTCGGGTGTTGCTGCACAAAGCACCCTCTCAGCTCCACGGAGAAGGACGCCGTTTCCTCTTCACCCACCGGCTGCCAGTGATGCTCTGGGTGGGAGCACACGGCTCCCTGCGCCGGGCCATGCCCTGCCCTCAGCCCCACGCCACTGAGGGAGAGGCGCCAACGGCTGGATTTTCTTCCTCAGAAGCCGGGAAGGGGCACAGTTTTTATTGTCATCTGTCTCTGCTTTACTGCCCAGAGTTGGCATCCTTGATTCACAGCAAGCGCACTGACACCCCTGCCTTGCTTTGCTCCTCTGTGCTGCCCTCACATCTGCTGACCTCTCCGCAGGAAAGCACACAGCACATCAGCTAGATGGGCACTGATACAGATCTTGTTGTGTTTTGTTTTGTTTTCCAACTTAGAACAGCTTGGAAGAGCTTCCTTAGATGTAACCATATGTTCATGCTCAGGAACTTAGGAAGTGCTGCATTCAAAGCAGCCATTTTGTCTGTGGTCCACAGGTCTGGGGAAGAAAAAGCTGCCTCTCTCCTGAGTGTTTAAACACATTATTCAGGGATCCATACTGACACTGCACAGTTCTGAAGAACAGTAAAACACTGAATGTGTCCACTCTGCCACTTTACAGAAAACAAGCTCTGCCTACCTAGTCTTCATCATGGGAGAGTAAATCAGATTAATGCAGCTCTACAGCATCTACCAGGTGTTCGTCCAAGCATAAGCAACATTGGTCCAGGCACAGCAGCAGGCCACCATAATGCTCGTGCTGTAGAGGGAATGAAGCACCTGCTAATGTTTAGAGTGACAAAACCTGAAAGAAAAATGCTTGCTTTTAAAGATACATTTGGTACGTTTCTAAGGGCTAGAGCAGGGTTAACAGGGTTTTGGTCGTTGAAGAGTCAACACAGCAGCAGGTCTTGTCAGAGAAATGCAATCGTCAAATAACAGATGTATACTTTGAAAGTGAACCTGCTGCAGAAAAGCACAGATCTTCCCAGCACTTGTATTTTCCTTCAGCCAAGGCTGACAATCTTTTCTTCTTCTAACAAAACCTGCTGAACATTTGTTTTTAAGAATTTCCCCCTGATAGCCACAGCAGGGCAGGTTTACTGTGCATAAGATCCAAATTTATAGTTTGCCATGTTCCAGAGCTCACCACTGCAGTGCAGAACTACACAAACCCACCCCTGCCATTCACCAGTCCTTCCTTTCCTCACTTACCTCCACTGCCCACACATCTCCATGCAGAACCGTCCACGTTTACATAAAGCTTACAGCAGAGCCACTGAAGCCTTGTAGCCCTTGTCCCATAACAACTCTCCCAGACTACAGTCCCAGAGCCTCAGGAATAGCAATATTTTCAAATGAAACATGGGTGACCAGTGTAATTTTTTTTCTAACACAGAACTGTATTCATTTCATAGCTTTCTTAGAAAAGTATAACACTTCAAGTCCCATTAAGGCAGGCAGCTGAAGGCAAAAGGACATTTCAAGGCACAGAGCACACGTAATCAACATTTACCAGCCATTTTAAGTATCCTGAAGGACATTTAACTTTCATAAAAGCATCAATGAATGCTCCCTGGCCCAGTAAGAGCACTTTATACAAACCCCAGCTGCACGTAAACCACCACAGCTAGCACATGGAGTTATGGTCATAAATCTTCATTTAAAAACATCATCAAAAACAGCCTTCAAGAACTCTCAGATGTTTCCTGGAAACGTACCAGCAAGAAGACAGGCTAAACTGTGCTGTCTTAGGGGCAGTCCATAAGCTTGTTAAAGATAGCTTGCCCAGGAATATTTTGTGCATCTCCCTTACTTACAAACGAGAGGAGGCACAACACAAGACTTGGAAGAATGCAGAAGGTGCATCCACTTGCACATACAGAGGAGGGATTTAGGGGGAGGGAGGAAAGCAGTGTGTTGGAATCACAAAGAGTCACAGAGCTTAAAGTTATCTGAGATGTTCTGGGCTCATTCCAGGAACCCCTCTGCCTAATCTTCAGGAAGGAAAAAGAAAAGTCAAATCAGATCCTCTCCTGTTTGCTCAGTAGAAGGTCTTGTTTCATCAGAACAGACATGGGAGGAGCGTAAGGCTGGACTGAGGGAGGGAGGTGTCCATTCTGCTGCAGACAAGGGCCTCAATATGGATGCTGTGCTGTCTTGCTTGAGTCAGGCCACAGCGGAGAGCTTTCCTGCTGATCAATTGTCTCATAGGCACTGCGGTCCCGGCCTGCACGGTTGAGACCTGAACAAGAAGAGAACAAGCTTGATGAAAAAAATGAATACAAAAAACTGAATCTCCTAGAAGAAACCAAAAGTTGAGGAGCATGCCACATTACCACGACAGGCTTGTTTTTATGTAGCAAGGATGCTGCCTAGTAATGAAGAGGGCTTTTGTTTCAAAAGACAAGACAGAGGACCTGGAAAATCACAATTCAGTTCTAAAGAAAAATGCCAGTTAGTAGGAAAAGAGAAAATTTGTCAATCACATTCAACAGAAAATAACAGCACATGGTTTGTACTGAAAATGTTGTCAGGAAGACATTTCAGAAGAAGATAAAAAAAGTATTACGTGACTGAATTCCAACTTGTGCCTGGGAAGAGATTCTGACAGCATGCTGTGCTGAACAGCATGGTAAGAAGGAAGAATACTCAGCTACACTTTCTGTAGGGTACAGATGTTAAATCCTAGTCACAAGTACACTCAGCAGGTAATAAAAACTGGCACAAACATGGCACAATGGCCTTCTGAGCCAGCTAAGAGAGATCTGCATGGCATTTGCACAAGCAGCTGATGGAGAAAACATCCACATTCTTCTACCACAAGGTGCAAACAATACCCTGAAGCTGCTGTTTTCCTCTGACAGCCTCTCCTTCTTTATAAGTTCCCACCACTTTTCACAAGAAGCTTCATCGTTTTTGCTAGCACCAATGCAGTCTAAGTGGCAGCTTTCAAGCACTACAGTGCCTGTTGTACCACCTTTTGTCCTACAAAGCCTTAGGAAAGAAAAAGGTAACTGTACTAGGCTGCTGGTTTTGCCAGGATGAACTCCCACACAGCAAATAATCTCTGGCAGCAGCCCCAGGAATGCTTGGCAAAGAAGCTGACAGAATACCCAACCCTAACACCTCTCTCTGGCAAGGCTGCCACATTATTCCTAGCAACTGCAGCCAGGAGGAAAAATGAGTGCCTCCAAGCAAAGGAGCACAAGGTAAACATCAGTCCCATTTCCCAGGTAAGGAAACAGCAGTCCACAACTATCAAGTTAGCAAGGGCACAAAGCATGGAGTCAGAAATCCACCCTTCCCTCACATGCATAATCCAGGTGGAAGGAATGATGCCTTAACTTTCCCATAGAAGGAAAAGGTCGGCAAAGTGAGAGGGACACCCAAAGGCTTCCAAGAAGTGCATAAAATGAAGGAAGTGGAAGAGAGGAAAAACCTAAGTTAACTGAGTAAGAGTGACAGCAGTGACATCAATACCACTGTAGGCAAACTGGCTGTCAGACAAGGACTCCAGGTCTGCAAGGGAAGAGAGGAAGAATGTAAATTTAAGGCCTAAGACTCAGCAGGAGCACAAAAGGGAGAAAAGACACGAGGAAGAGAGAGGCCATCCTCCTCCTTGGAAAGAAAGGCAGGATCCAGCTGCACAAGGCTGAGGCTGAAGGGTAAAGAGTCTTCTCCAGCAGCCTTCCCTAACAGGAGAGGACGTGGCCCACACTGATGCAGAGGAAGCACCCTACCTATGTTGAAGATGTAGTCCCCTCCACGCTCCCGGTACATTCGATACACAAAGTAGCAGGATCCAGGTTTCAGGAGGAGGCTGAAGATGGCCATGCCCATACTGAAACGCTTCACATCGCTGGGATAACCACGCAGAGGGTAGTAGACAGAGATGTGAATGATGTCTGTGAGGACCGTGAGCAGCAGGCCGGTCAGGAACTGGGAAGAGAGAACAGGACATGAACTGGATGAGGGATTAACTAGCAGGAGTAACAGCCAGTTATAGGTTCTATCTACTAGAAGATCAATGTTCACACAATCATGCTTTTACCTCTGTATAACACAGTGCTAACCCTTCACATGCCCCCAGGTACACAGATAATCCTAAGTGATCTCATACATCACGCATTTTCTTCACATCTGCTGGACGCCTTCTACTAGTATCTTCCAGGGTTGTTTATTTTTGCTTGCCAATTTCTTTAATGATCAGAGAAGAGATTTAAAAGGCATCTCTAACTCAAGCATATTGAATACTCAGAGTCTGGCGTTAAAAGTGACAACAGCAGGCAGAAAAAAAGAATCAAGTATGCCTTACCCCCGAGAAGCAAAATAATGGATAGTGAATGCTTCTCACCACAGTTTATAGTGCTTAAGTAGAAGCCAGGCTCCCTCGGGGAGACTAGAATAAATAAATAAAGAGTTTGACTTGTTCACTGCTGCACTGGGAGCAGCTGAAGATCATCACCGATTCAAAGGAGCTTTTCTGCCCTCCACCCTCTCCCTGGTAGAGGCAAATGCCCTCACACTCACCATCACAATGGCATCAAGGGAATCTCGCTGCACAATGGCCCAGATCCCCACTGCAAGGACACTGAAATTCCCCCAAGCATAGGAGGCTGGAAACGAGTTATTCATGCATCCCCTGCCAAACAAGACAAAAAACCCAAGCCAAGTTCACAAGGAGCCCGCAGCAGTGTTTGCATTTATCCCTGCTCCCATACAACCACTGGGACTTAGGAGCTCCTTGCACACAGGCATGAACAGGGAGTGCTGACTCCCCAAGAACATCCCATTCCTAGTTTGAAGGAACATCCTCTTCTCAAGCCAGGCCAGTTACCAATCACTCACCACACTGTGAGCAGCCAGTGCACCAGAATGATGGCCTATGGAAAAACAGAGAGGAAGACAGATCAGCAATTGGGAAAACTGTGGGAAAAACAACAGAAAGTTACACCACCTCACCTCCATGAGACAGAGAGGGAGAGTGCCCTGGAACCAGTGCAAAAACTGCCCTAGCAACTGGGCCAGCAAAGACAAAACCATTTTTCTCTGCTGCTGCTGCTATTTCCTGTGGTGCTCCACTATAGTTGTTCACTACTGTCATCATCACTGCTGACAGTTGATTCAGAGCACACTTCAGCCTTTTCTAAATGTGTTATTGATTTTGGAACTCTAGCAGAGTTTGTACTGCAAGCCAGACAATCTGATTCACAGCTTATACAGGACCAATCTGGTGTCCCACCACCAAGAAGTCCATGAATAGACACGACTGCAGCTCCCAGCATTTCTGCTGTGGTCCTCAGTGAATTCCCCTTCACCCCCTCCCCACCCGCTCACAGCAGCAGCCTGCCTCAGCTCAATACTGAGAGACCTGAAGCCATCTTCTAGGAACCTAAAACCCCAATCCTGCCATGCTACACCACCCTTTTCACTTCCAGTGACACACCAGTGCCCAAACACTGCTACATTTATTGACTCAAAACGTCTAACTTCACAAGAACTCTTTGCTTCAAGAAAGTTAATGACCCATGAAGCTGTGACTTGAGTGAAACCAGGAGTGATGCCTTGGACTGTCCAGCCACGATGTCACAACATAGATACTGTAAGATAAAGCTCTTGTTCCTCTCTAGCACCCTATCACATCTGCTGAGCATTCAGCATGGACTGTCTGAACTTCAAACGCTGCTCGAACAGGTTTTTAATAATGATTTTTTTTTTAATTGCTCATGAAAGCCTACAAAATGCTTCAGCACCACTCGCCGCCTCCCCTCCTCCCAGATTGCACCGCAGAGACCAGGCAGAAACTGCTAATCAGGAGAATACAAGATGTTCTTGGATAAGAATGGAGACATGCAAATAGCATTCACCCAAGAGACAATCACAACATCAGGGAAATTCTTAATTAGGTAGTATTTAATTGCACGTTACGCACAAGACCCCTCAAGGCTCAGCAGCTAATATAATTACACAGGGTGGGTTTTTTTTTTTGTTTTTTTTTTTTAAGCTGTCTAGATCAATATTGCAGTTACTAAATTATGAAGCAGGCTCCATCACCAGCATGAAGTCAGGTAGGCAAGGGCTGATAATCCAAGGGGCTGCTGAAAGAAAAACAAAGCACTGCCTTCCGAGCTATTAGTCTGAGTTATCTGACAGCTCTTTGGGGCACTGTGGAATTGGCTGATGGTCTCAGTATGCTTTAACACAGAAAACGCAGTGTTAATGAAAAACATTATTTAAAGCTGCAGTCATTACGTGAGATAATTTGCAGGCAGCCTCCTGGTGAGACAGAAGAATTCATTCCCATCTGTTCAGGGGGATATATCCATACCTAAGAAGAGCATACGTTGCTTTTTTAAGAGTTCTTTGGAACAGGAACTCATCCTCCCTGACTGAAGGTATTCAAAGCCTACCTGGTCGCTTTCCTCTGCAGCCTCCTCTGGGGTTCCTACTTGAGCAGGGGAGCTGGACTGGATAATCTCCAAAGTGGTTGCTAACCCTTTGAGTTGACCTATTTGATCTACTTTTCAAGTTAGCTTTGCTTTGAGCAGGAGGCTGGGCTAGGTGATGCACAGAGGTCTCTTCCAATCAAAATGATTCTATGATTCCAGAGCTAGCATCTAAAGACACCCAAGAACAAGACATCTGTTTTCAGGCATATTCATTGTTTTCCAAGCTTGAACAAACTTGATATTTCAAGATTTAGCACAGCTATTGCAGTAACCCTAGCTATCAAACATTCACTGCAAAAATAAGGTGATGCTGCTTTCCACACTTTGCTGAGCATTACTACGAGAGCTGAGCCAGTAGATGCTGCTCCAGGAGAGGATTCCTCATCTACAGTAGGTCAAGGCCTACTATATTAATTATACAGTTCTACACACAGGTTTAAGAGGGACCTCAAGGCTGAGACTCTGCTGCATTCTGGTTCAAACACTGCATTCACACAGGTTTTTGGAATTTTTCTTCTTCTGTTGTTAGGTTTATCCTTCTGATCTCAGAGAAACTGTAAGTAGTTAATGCCAACACATAGCAGTAGTGTGTTTTTCCTGGTCTCTCTCTGAACCTTGTCAAGCTTTGTGTTGTGTTTCAGAGCAGCAGGCCATGATTCAGGGACAGTACAAAGATGCAGGATAATTATTAACTCACTGTGCTGCAGCCCTCGAATCCCAGAACACAGCATGGCTTAGGTTGGACAGGACCTTGAAGATCATCTGGTTCCAACCCCCTGCCATGGGCAGGGCTGCCAATCACCATCCCAGGGTCATCCAACATGACTCTGAATGCCTCCAGGGATGGGGCACCCACAGCTTCTCTGGGTACCCCATTCCAGTGCCTCCCCACCCAAACTTTACAAAAAGGTACTTCCCAATGCTGAGAAAAGTTTGGCCAGGTCAAGATCACTCTCACCCAGGAAAAGATTTAAGAATGGTTGCCAAAAACCAGGGAGGAAATGCAACATTTTACATTTTATGGGGATTCATTCGTTCAAGAAGCATGCCTTTTCTTCCAGCTCCTGCATCGCCACCTCCCATGGTGAAGCATGGGATTTCACTGGCAGATTTTTTAATTTGATGTCGTTATTTTTCCCTTTTGTTTTAGTGTGGGGAAAAAAAAAAAGACACACACAAGCAATAAAAAATAAATAAATAAATAAATAAAGGAGAATGTAGCACTTTTCCTAGCGGACTGGGAACCACATAATAGCTAAAATTTGACAGAGCAAAATATCAGCTCAAAATATCAGGGATGTAATAGAAGAACTTCTTCACAGTCAGTGATGGAGCACTGGTGCAGGCTGCCCATGGAGGTGGTGCAATCTCCTTCTCTGGAGATATTCAAGATCCATCTGCACACTTTCCGGTGCAGCCTGCTGTAGGGAGCTCACTTAGCAGGGGGTTGGATTCATGAGCTCCAGCAGTCCCTTCCAACCCCTACAGTTCTGTGACTGCAAATACAACCCATAAGCCAGGCCCTGAAAAAGCCATTTGTGCACCTGCCTCTAAACAGGGCGCAATCCCTTCTCTCAGCAAGCTAAAAGAAGGGGAAAGGCGCCTATATGACCTCCCAGATTTCACTTAGCACAGCCACAAGCAAGCCTTCCCATAGCAAGCTGCAAGCACAGGGCAGCTGGCACAGAGCAGCCCCCAACCTGCTGGCAACACGCAGCTCCGAACCAAGGGCTGCAAACCCAACCTGCGATGCTTTCAGCAACGCGCCCAAAATCCCCACAGGGAAGCTGGGCGGTGAGCGGCACGTAGCCCTAAAAGGCTCCGAAAATATGATAAATGGAGGAAAAACCGAGGAAAGCGGGCGGTATCAGGGTATGTTCAGTCTCAGGGGCAACGTGGAAAGGGGCGATTTCAGCCTCCGTGCCAGGAGCCGCTTCCTCCTGAAGTTAACGTCAGTCCCTTATTTCCCGTTTCTCCACCAAATACCGGATGAAAGTTTACAGTCACCCTCATTCAACACCCCCTCCTCTCCCACACAAATGAAGAAAAACAAAAAAAAAAGCGGTTTCTGTCGGTCAGATTCAGCCCGCAGCGCGGTCGCCTTTCCGAGGCGGTTTCCCTACGCGCCAACTTCGCCCCGTCAGTAACGCGCGGCGCCCATCGCTCCGTGCCGGAGGGGGGGGAGGAGAGGGGGGAGGAGGGGGGGCGGCCGTCCCGTGCGGCAACCTGAGCGACAACCACTCCAAAAAAAAAACCAACCCACAAAAGGCAAAAATAACCACTTCTCAAACACCCCCCGCGCCTCCTCACCGGGCACCAAGCTCAAAACCAAGCGCAACGCCCACCCCCGTATAAGGGGACCCGCTCCCCTTTCTCCCAGCCGACCCGCCTCGCCCCACAGCCGCTCAGCCCCCCCCCCCCGTACCTTGAGGCTGACGGCAGGCAGCTCCATGGCAGCGGCCCGCCCGCCCCGTGACTCCCACCGCGGGGCCGCCCAGGGGAGGGGAGGAAGGCGGGAGCGGTCGGGACACCGCCTCCCTCAGCGACGTGCCCCGCGGGTGGATCCCGGCGTGAGGGGAACCTCGGCGGGGTGTTTGTGTCCGTTGTCAGGCTGGGCAAGAAAGAGGTGAAGGCCGTGGAGTGCGAACAGAGATGGGAGCAGAGCGGTGCTGTGGGGAGAGGCTGAGGGAAGGAGTTGGGAAGAAACTCTTCGCAGCTCCTGAAAGGAGGCTGTGGCGAGGTGGGCTCAGCGCTGGATCCGTGTAACACGGAGCATGGCCTTACGGCACACCAGGGGAAGTGCAGGCTGGATGTCAGGGATTAATTGGGACAGTTTCTCCTCAGAAGGAGCAGCGAAGTGCTGGCACAGCTGCACAGGGAGCGGCGGGGTCACCGTCCGTGGAGGCATTTGGTGTGGAGATATGGCACTGAGGGCACATTGGGGTTGGATTTGGTGATCACACAGCTCTTCCCCATCATAATGAGCCTGTGATTCTGAACTGGGACTTCACCTCTTGATCTCAAAGTGTTTCCAGCTTTAGAGCTGGGGAAGTTGTCATGTAAACGACCGACCCAAACCCACAGCGTACAGCTATGAATTCTTCCCCTCCCCTGTTCATAACAGCAGTCTTCTCCCCACACTCAGCGATGGGATAGCAGAACCAAGAAATAAGGGTGACCCTCTCCAACGTTCCTTGCCCAATGTATGCATGGCCTGCCTGCAGAGCACAGAATCACAGAATCACAGTGGTTGGAAGAGACCTCAGTGATCATCGAGTCCAACCCCCCTGCCAAAGCAGGTTCCCTACAGCAGGTCGCACAGGTCAGCATCCAGGCAGGTCTTGAACATCTCCAGAGAAGGAGACTCCACAACCTCCCTGGGCAGCCTGTTCCAGTGCCCAGAGCACGACACTTTACAGGCAGACTATGATGTTTTACTGGGTCAGTTGCTTTCTTGTAATTTGTTTTTAAGACGGGGCCTCTGAGAATGTGAGAAGAGTCACAAGTTCATTGCAGAAGCTGGATGTGGAAATGTGTGAGTCACCCTTCAGCCCCATTTCCAGTTGGAGCAGCACAGTGCAAGGTTATGTGCAAGAGTTGTGTGCAGTGTGGGATCTGAACTCACACATTCTCAAACCAGCCACAAACAGGCCTTGAAAAAGCCATCTGTGCACCTGCCTCTGACAAGGGAAGTCTCTATCTGCCCTGTCCTTCACTGCATCTTGAGTCCTGCTGGCTGCTCTGTTTTTGAAGATCTCCCAAGGCAAAGTTTTAAATCATTAAATCGCTGAGCAGAAGCAGCAGCAGCAAACTGACCTGCTGTGTAGTTGAAAACGTTTTAAAATGTCCTCCTAAAAATCCTCAATTGTGACACCTTACCAGAAATGTAACTCATGCATTGTCACATCAGCTGGGACTTCATTTCTGTGTCCTGCAGGGAAGCCCTGCTTCCATTCACAGAAGTACTGGTATCAATTGGGATCAACGCTAATTGCCTGAGCGATGTCACGGACTGGATTTTACCCTAAATGGCAAAGAGAAGATTTGACATCTGAAAATATGTGAAGAGATACTGAATATCTGTACTGCTGGCTCAGTGTTTGGGTACAAACTGTGACAGGGGTGCCATTCTGCTGGAATAGGCATCTAGCAAAGCAGTACGGTTTGTTTTAATGACAGTTCCCACTGCAGCCCAGTTTAAGTGTAAGCACTGTTTAGATGCAGCAGTTTGTGGGTGTCTTTGCTCCTTCCAGCATTCTCACTTGGTCTGAATGAGACAGGCGAACTCATTATCATTTATGCAGTGTGAGCTGTAATTTGGATTGATGTGACTGCCGCTCAATGCAAAGCATTCATTTCCCCTTGTACAATGGAACTGCTTTACTTCATTTTGTTCATCAATGTATTGTGCAATTAATTCAGCCCTGTTTATTATATTCTGGGCTTGTATGTCATGGACTCAGGGGACTTAGAAATGCCTTAATGATCTCATGGATATGAAAACAATGAGAGCTGTGATAGCCATGATGCATTTGCACATCTCTCACACCTATTGGATCTAGACATCGGTTGTTTTTTATGTCTGCTTCGCTTTGCTCGTACCTTGTAAATTGCCTCTGTGTAAGCTGCTGCCTCTGTTCCCTTCCTTAGGCCTGATAGCTCAAAGCATCACAAACGTGGTGAGAAAGATAACAGCAAGTTAAAGACTGCGGGGAGAAGCAGATAACCCCGGAGGCTGGAAATAGGGTACAGAGATCTTCTTAACTAGACTGGTCCAGGTGAGTTCGGCTCACTGCAATTAATATCCAGCAATTAGCTGCTTTACATGAAAGATTTTGGTAGTATGCCTAGTGCAAATCAAGTTAAAACCTAATGCACAGCTGTTTCCCTTCCTGGCAGCATAAAAGTGGGGCAAATAAGGCAGAAATGCTTTCCTTTGCATCTTCAGGATGCTGTGCTTTTGGTGGGCAGGGTGATAGCAGCAGGGAAGTGCAGGCATTAGTACGGTTGCTCCTGCTCTCCTTATTTGGCCCACAGAGATAAAGGCAAGCTCAGTGCTCATGGTTCTGCTCTTCTTGTCACTCACTTGGGGTCTAGCCCAAAGATAACTGATGGCTGCAGCTGCCGTGGTATCTTTGAGCTGTGTCCTGCCTGCAGAGCCAAGAGAATGAAAGCATCAGCTCTGCACAAATGCATGTGTCACCAATGGAGACCTTCTGAGTAAGCAGTGAGGAAGGACATATAGAAGTTGTCCCGGCTCTGCAAACTCCCATTTAGATCCCAGGGGGAAATCAGCATGCAGGAGCATCGTTTGGATTGAAGGGGACACTGAAGACATTTTGCAGTGCTGGAGAGAAAGCTCACTGCAAAACACATGGCAAGATGATTTGGGGAGTGGGGAGGGTTAATGTGGTACATTGTCAGATAAAGCTAAAAATTCCTTTCTAATCCCAGCAAAAAAAAAGCTACTCCTATGTTTTGCTAAAATGTAACGAGAGATTCTCTTGTATAATTGAAGGATTACTTCAAGATTCACTGATGCTCTAGAAAACACATGGACATGTCATAAATGAGTTTATGGGGAACATGTGATACTCAGAACATTCACAGAAAAACAACAGCTCTCATTCCTCCAGACTGAAAGAATATATGTGAAAGCACTGTTTTCTTTATGTAGCAGAGCCTGTCTGGCACCGACACGAACAATTTAGTACAGCATGATTTGAAATTGAAGCACTTTCACACCCCATGGATTGACAACAGGGTAATTAGCAGGGGAGGGGGGGAAGAGAGGGTTTCAGCAAAACATCCCCCAGCTAAAATGAATGCGGACTATTACAGACCTGAGAGATAATGATTCCCAAGTGTTTTAATTTGTGCTTCCCCTCCTTGTCTCCCTTGCAGTCATCATTTTGGCAACTGCCAGCAACATCCCTCACACACTCAGCAGCATTCACAGAGCAGGCAGCTGCTGAGATGATTATGTCAAATCAGCACTCTGTCCTCTCTTTTCCACGTCTAATGATTCTCACCCTTGGAGAAGTGCTTTAAATGAGGTAGACACCTCTGGCTCATTGTGAGGCTGCTAAAAGCAATAGCTGCAGAGCAGGACTTTGGGTGGGACCCTGTCATTCACCTGACTGCAATTATCTTTCCAAACGATTCCACAGAGCCCTGCTGGTCCTTTTTTGGGCCTGGCCCAAAGTCCTTTCTAGGCAGCAGAAAAATCTTTCAAGAGCTGTGGATTGAGCTCTCTGAGGGCAGGAGAGAAGCTGAGTTTGTGTGAATTCTTAATTTGAGTTTCCCAAACAAGCCACTGAGAAGAACACATAAAACAAGGCTTGCTTGACGTCGATCTCCCTCTGCCTTATTCAGAGCTAACGTCCCCAAAGGCAGAACTGTCACTGATTGCGTTGCAACTGGGAGATGCAGGGAAGGAAGAAGGGGAAATGTGCTGTATGTAACCAGGTGGTGCTGTTGCTGCCACTGCTGTCGTGCTGCTGAGCCAGCAGAGCAGCACTTAAAAGCTTTCCTGCGCTCAGAAGTGGGTTGGACTTGCACAAACATTGCCCCTGGGTTTTATGTCACGGGCTGATCCTGCCTTCTGTATCTTGGCACATTATTTACTCAACAGCTTTCATTTGCACTGCAGCCGTGAAGTCAGTAATATGTCTGGTGGAGACATAAATCAGGTTGCCTGATTCTGCTCACACTGCTGTGGCAGTGCTGCATGCTCTGCCCTGGCTGCTGCTCCTTTCTGCTTCCCTTCTGCAGCATCACAGTTTGATTCAGAAAGAACAAATCTCAGTCATGAGCTCTCCTACTGAAACCCCAATCTGAGCAATCAGTCCAATAATCTTGTAGCTCAATTCGTTATAATTAACTCAATTTTCACTGTCCTTAGACATCTAACTAATCCCAGCAATTAAGAATCAGCTGTTCTCTATATTCAGAGTTAACAGTGGACCTAAAGCAGAAAAAGCAAAGGGTCCCCTGTTGAAGTCTAAAACCTCTGGCTTAAAATTCAGACTTGCTTTTATTGCAGCAAAGTCTTGTTCAAAACACTGCCCAGAACCCTAGAAGGATACGGGGCACTGAATGCCTGCATCGCCAAAGATAAAGATCCCTGCCAGATTTCCAGCTTTCTCTCACTTGCACTGTTCCAAACAGACTCAGCTCCGATATCAGAAAGCACCGCAATATCAAAACTTGGCTTTGATAAAAGACAGCGCGTGTGGTTCTTATTGCTGTCACACAGACCAGGATTTGAGAGCTCTGCAATTGACTGTGATCAATTAAAGCCTTTTTCCATTTGTGCTTTCACTGACAATAGCACTGGCAGAACCACCTACTGTTCTGCATCTGTGCTGAGGGAGGGGCTGCATTTCTCTCTCTGGGTTAACAAACTGCATCCCTGCTGCCACAGCATAGAGCTGCAGCCAAGCCACCATTCCTTACTCCAAATTTTTGGGCTGAGATTGTCGTGCTGTA